ATTTATATCCCACTTTTCTTGCAAAAATGAAACTCATGGTAGCTAATGACATGTTAATGCAGTGCATATTGAAGCTATACAAAAAGCTTCAATAAAAGTTGAAATATAAAATATTTAAGAACAGTTAAACAACTGATAGAGTCACAGACATTAAACATTAAAATATTAAAACTGATTAAGAGGTAACATGTCAATCACAAAAGCTAAGAGCCCATCACAGTCAGTTACTAAGAACCTGATGACATAACAATATTTTAACTTGTTGATGGAAGGACAGTAATGATGGGGCCACCCTTTCAAAGTCTGGTAGCAGTCACCAAGAAGGATCTCTCTTTTGTTCCCACCAAATGAGCCTGAGGAGGTGGTGCAGCAGAAAGTAGGGCATCTCCGGGCAATATTAGAGTGGTAATGGGCTCATAAAAAGAGATCCTCCAGATAGTCGCAACCCAAGCTGCAGGAGTTACTTCCCCCCAGCTAGGTGTTCATGGGACTGCAGTGCTAGTACCTGATCCTACAATGTGTTAACTCAGATATCTGAATTTCTTCCCAAAGGGAATTAAATGTAGTCTCTCACCAGTTATTGATGTTTAGGATAGTGCTGCCATGATGCAGTTGGATCTTAGATGAGATTATTTGGGAATAACCAGAAGACAATTAAATGGGGCTTCCTTGAAGGCACAGCTCTAGGGCAGGGAGGTCCTTGATGGATTTCACATGCTCCCTGGCTCTACTCAGTTTTACCCAACTCAGCTGCATCTTAGCCTTCTCAGGTTCTGATTCATATAGTAATTCCCATATTTTACTTCATGGAATAAGAAGTTAGTATTCTTGAAGGAACTCCCCTCAATTTTTTATTAGTGCATCGTGCTGATGACTCACACTTCACTTGTGGTCAACTAAGGCCCCTTCCACACAGCTGAATAAAATCCCACATTATCTGCATTGAACTGGAATATATGGCAGTGTGGACTCAGATAACCCTGTTCAAAGCAGATATTGGGTTTATATGGCTATGTGGAAGGGGCCTAAGGCCTCTAGATCCTTGCCATATGTTGCCATAATGTGATTGTACTTTAACTTCTATTAGTGCAAGTACAGAAATGGCTTGGGTTGCTTTTCTCTGGACACATTCCAGATTGTCAATATTCTTGAATTGTGGTGCTCACAAAGGCACATAGTATTCCAATGAGCTCTGACCAAAGTGAAACACAGTGGCACAACAACTTCTGTCAATAGTAAGACAATATATTCTTGTTGATACAGTCCAGAACAGCATTGGCGTGTGTTTAGCTTTTGATCAACCAAGACTCTTAGATCCTTGCCCAGGCTATGTGCTTTTATAGTTTCTACTGGCGCAGGTACAGAAAAAAATCAACAGCTGAGGGCATGACGGCTCCTATTTTAGACTGAGGTTGCAACCTTTACTTTGAATTATCACCCCGCCCCCCAGCAAAAACTCCAGTTAAGAAAATAATGTACACAGAGATGCAGAAGGTATCGATCCACCTCTCTCATTACTGCCTGCTCTACTTGGCAGCACCTCTTTAGGGACTTGGGCAAAAAAAGCTTCTTGTTTCATTTTTCATTGCACTCTTCCACTGAACTCAGTTTCGTCCCATGAGTTATAACCTATAGGAAGACTGATACATTTGAGTTGACTAGATGGGTTGGGAGCACCTGGAAGCTGTTAAAGACTCTCATCTGCTAGATCTGTACCAATAAAAGAGCCTCATTTAATTCCTTGGTTATCATTCCCAGGTAATCACACCTAAGACCCAGCCACATGAAGGTAGTTCTGTCTTACCTATAGGGTTTTCTTAGGCAAGGAATATTCAGAGGTGGTTTTGCTTGTTCCTTCCATTGAAAGGTAGCCTACAGCACCTGGTATTTGTTGACAGTAGATGCAGGGAATGCTGTGGATATAGTATAGATTTCAGTAAGGTCTTCGACAAGGTCCCCCATGACCTTCTGGCAAGCAAACTAGTCAAATGTGAGCTAGGCAAAACTACGGTTAGGTGGATCTGTAATTGGTTAAGTGAATGAAACCAACGGGTGCTCACCAATGTTTCCTCTTCATCCTGGAAAGAAGTGATGAGTGGAGTGCCGCAGGGTTCTGTCCTGGGATCGGTCCTGTACAACAGAACTTAGACGAAGGGTTAGAAGGCATGATCATCAAGTTTGTAGACAACACCAAATTGGGAGGGATAGTCAGTACTCCAGAAGACAGGAGCAGAATTTGAAATGAACTTAATGGATCAGAGAGATGAGCCAAAACTAACAAAATGAAGTTCAACAGTGATAAATGCAGGATACTCAATTTAGACAGAAAAAATGAAATGCAAAGATACAGAATGGCTCGAGAGCAGTCCATGTGAAAAAGATCTTGGAGTCCTTGTGGACAAGAAGTTAACATGAGCCAGCGATGTGATGTGGGGGCAAAAAAAAAAAAAAGCCAATGGGATTTTAGCCTGCATCAATAGTATAGTTCCTTGATCCAGGGAAGTCATACTATCTCTCTATTCTGCCTTGATCAGACCACACCTGGAATACTGTGTCCATTTCTGAGCACCGCAATTGAAGGGAGATGTTGACAAGCTGGAATGTGTCCAGAGGAGGGCGACCAAAATGATCAAGGGACTGGAGAACAAGCCCTATGAGGAGCGGCTTAAAGAGCTGGGCATGTTTAGCCTGAAGAAGAGATGGCTGAGAGGAGACATGATAGGCATGTATAAATATGTGAGAGGAAGTCATAGGGAGGAGGGAGCAAGCTTGTTTTTTGCTGCCCTGGAGACTAGGACATGGAACAATGGCTTCAAACTACAAGAAAGGAGATTCTGAACATTAGGAAGAACTTCCTGACTGTGAGAGCTGTTCAGCAGTGGAACTCTCTGCCCCGAGAGTGTGGTGGAGGCTCCTTCTTTGGAAGCTTTGAAACAGAGGCTGGACAAGGAATAATAGCTTCAAACTACAATTTTCTTGCTTCTTGTCAGAGGGTTGGACTGGATGTCCTACAAGGTTTCTTCCAAGTCATGCTACCCCTCTATTCTACCTTGGTCAGACCACACCTGGAATACTGTATCCAATTCTGGGCACTGCAATTGAAGGGAGATGTTGACAAGCTAGAATGTGTCCAGAGGAGGGTGACTAAAATGATTAAGGGTCTTCCAACTCTATGATTCTATGATCCCAGTATGAACAAGGGCTGATCCTGCTTTGCTTCCAAGATGAGAAGGGTTTGGGCACCTGGATGAAGGTACAACAGGCATGGGCAAACTTCAGTCCTCCAGGGGAAGTTCAACTCCCACAATTTCTAGCAGCCAGAGTTGAAGTCCAAAAGACCTGGAGGGCTGAAGTCTGCCCATGCCTGTGTTAAAGCAGTGGTTCTCAACCTGTGGGTCCCCAGATGTTTTGGCCTTCAACTCCCAGAAACCCTAACAGCTGGCAAACTGGCTTGGAGTTGTAGGTCAAACCACAGACTGAGAACAACTGTGTTAGAGGGTGGGGCAGTCCCTTCCATGCTTACCTGAAGGGAAAACAACTCCATGGTTTTACGTGGAAAATTTCCGTTTGAGCAAACAAAACAGGGGGAATTACTGGACCTTCCTATCTCTTTTCCAGTTTTTTGGGGGGGAAAGAGGAAGGAAAGAGACAGGAAGGATGGAGAGAAAGGAAGGAGAAAGAGGGAGGAAAGAGAGGAGAAGATAGGAAGGAGAGGAAGGAAGGAGAAAAAGGGAGGAAAGAGAGAAGATAGGAAGGAGAGGAAGGAAGGAGAAAGAGGGAGGAAAGAGAGAAGATAGGAAGGAGAGGAAGGAAGGAAGATCCCCACCGAAAGGGAGAAGATAGGAAGGAGAGGAAGGAAGGAGAAAGAGGGAGGAAAGAGAGAAGATAGGAAGGAGAGGAAGGAAGGAGAAAGAGGGAGGAAAGGGAAGATAGGAAGGAGAGGAAGGAAGGAGAAAGAGGGAGAGAAGATAGGAAGGAGTGGAAGGAAGGAGAAAGAGGGAGGAAAGAGAGGAGAAGATAGGAGAAGAAAGGAAGGAGAGGAAGGAAGGAGAAAGAGGGAGGAAAGAGAGGAGAAGATTGAAGGAGAGAAGGAAGGAGAAAGAGGGAGGAAGAGGAAGAAGGAAGAGGGAAGGAAGGAGAAAGAGGGGAGGAAGAAGAGAGAAGATAGGAAGGAGGAGGAAGGAAGGAGAAAGAGGGAGAAAAAGAGAAGAAGTAGGAATAGGAGCATAGTGTCTAGATCTAGGGAAGTCATGCTATTCTGCTTTGAGAGGAGAAGATAGGAAGGAGAGGAAGGAAGAAGAAAGAGGGAGGAAAGGGAGAAGATAGGAAGGAGAGGAAGGAAGGAGAAAGAGGGAGGAAAGAGAGAAGATAGGAAGGAGAGGAAGGAAGGAGAAAGAGGGAGGAAAGAGACAGATAGGAAGGAGAAGAAGGAAGGAGAAAGAGGGAAGGAAAGAGAGAAGATAGGAAGAGAGAAGGAAGGAGAAAGAGGGGGGAAAGAGAGAACATAGGAAGGAGAGGAAGGAAGGAGAAAGAGGGGGGAAAGAGAGAACATAGGAAGGAGAGGAAGGAAGGAGAAAGAGGGGGGAAAGAGAGAACATAGGAAGGAGAGGAAGGAAGGAGAAAGAGGGGGGAAAGAGAGAAGATAGGAAGGAGAGGAAGGAAGGAAGATCCCCACCGAAATGATTAAGAGGGAAATTGGGTAGAGGGGGAGAAAAAAGTCCTACGACCATCAGGAAGAGAGCATCCACCTCTCTCCCAGACGTGAAGCCCTTGAGGACCACAATCCACCCCTCCCTTTATAAACCACCCTCCCCAAGGCCTCCTCCTCCTCCTCCAGGCAGACACCAGGCCGACGTCAGCAAGCGCCTCGTAGACGTCACGCCTTGACTCACCGCGACGTCATACCTCCCTCCAACCCTCCTCCTCCTCCTCCTCCCCCTCCCCTTTTGCCCGGGCAGGACGGAGTCGCGCGGCTCCTTTCCGCCTCTTTTCTTCCTTCCTTCCTTCCTTCCTTCCTCTTCCCCCCAAAAATCAAGCCAAGGAGGCGGCAGCTTGTCCACCCCCTTCTCTCCCCTCCCCCCAGCTTCCGGTTCTGCTGCCATATTCCTTTTTATTTTAAAGGCAGGGGAGGAAAAACCGCTGGGAAAGGGAAATAAAGCAGAGCAAGCGAAGGGAGGCAAGGAAGAGCTGCGTCCTGCTCGCCTTCTCCTCTCCCTTTGGATGCTCTTCGGGTCGGAGGAGGCGCTCCAAGGCTTCCTCATTCCGGAGGAAGAAGGAGAAGGAGAAAGGAGACGCCGGGGTTTCTGGAAGCCGCAGCGAAGGGACTGCTGCTGACATCACTTTCTCGCAAGCCGTCCAAGTTCTGATCCCTTTCGAGGCTGAAGTCTCCAGCGAAGGAAAGAAAGGAGAAGAAAGAGAAGGAGAGGAGGAAGGAAGGAAAGACCCAGGCGCGCCTCCCGTCCTAGCAAACCTCCTCCTGAATGAATCCGCGGCGCTTCCTCGCTGGGCCGCCTTCGTCTCCCTCTCCTCCTGGGTTGCCTCTGTTTACTTCCAACTGAGCCCTTTCTCCTTCCTTCCTTTGGGTTTGGGAAGAGGGAGAAGCACACCAAGGAAGGAAGGAAGCCAAGCAGACGTCGCCTATCAGCTGAGACCGAAAAGCCGGCGGAGGAAAGAGGAAGGAAGGTAAGCCGCTCCGCCGGTGGAGAGAAGCGTCTCTCCTGTTTGCAGGGAAGGAGACAGCTCACTACTTGGCTGGATGGGACTTAGACCCTCCAGGTGTTTTGGACTTCAACTCCCACCATTCCTAACAGCCTCAGGCCCCTTCCTTCCCCCCTCAGCCGCTTAGTGTGAGGGGGGAAAGGAAAGGGCCTGAGGCTGTTAGGAATGGTGGGAGTTGAAGTCCAAAACACCTGGAAGGAAAGGCCCAAGTTTGTCCATGGGTGCCGGTTAACTGAGAGTCTGCAGCACGTGTCTGTGTTTCGAATTTCATGTCTGAATATCCCTTTCTTTCTCCTCCTCTCCTTCCTTCAAGAAAAAGGAATATGGATTAATAATAATAATATTTTCGAAGGCTTTCATCACTGGGTTGTTGTAGGTTTTTCCGGGCTATATGGCCATGTTCTCGAGGCATTCTCTCCTGACGTTTCGCCTGCACCTATGGCAAGCCTCCTCAGAGGTTGTGAGTCACATAGTCCAAAAGAAACCTACAACAACCCAATAATAATAATAAAACTTTATTTCTAGACCGCCCTCTCTCTTTGAAGGGACTCAGGGCGGTTTACAGACACAAAACAAAAAGGCAAACATTCAATACCCTCAAATGAATTCAAAATACATAAGAATACTTCAAGATAATGCACAGAAACAACAGTACACTTGCAACAGAGAAATTAAGCATCCAGATGGAAATGATTAAATAGAGAAACAGAATGGGAAGTATTGTCGAAGGCTTTCATGGCCGGAATCACTGCGTTGTTGTAGTTTTTTTCAGGCTATATGGCCATGGTTCTAGAGGCATTCTCTCCTGACGTTTCGCCTGCATCTATGGCAAGCATCCTCAGAGGTTGACACCTCTGAGGATGCTTGCCATAGATGCAGGAGAAACGTCAGGAGAGAATGCCTCTAGAACATGGCCATATAGCCCGAAAAAACCTACAACAACCCAGATCCATAACTGATATTAAATTAAAACATGAGAAAAGCATTACAATGTATACCCTATAAGCAATTATGATACAATTACATTGGAATGGGTTGTTTTGAGTTTTCCGGGCTGTATGGCCATGTTCCAGAAGCATTCTCTCCTGAAGTTTCGCCCACATCTATGGCCGGCATCCTCAGAGTTTGAGGGGTCTGTTTGGAAACTAAGAGAATGGGGTTTAAGCCATTCTGAGTCCCCCTTTGGAGGTTGAGAAGGGCGGGATACAAATGCTGTAAATAAATAAATAAATAAATATCTGTGGAATGTCCAGGGTGGGAGAAAGAACTGTTGTCTGCTTGAGGCATGGTGTGAATGTTGCAATTGGCCACCTTGATTAGCATTTAATGGCCTGCAGTTCAAGCTGGCTGGTTGCTGCCTGGGGAATCCTTTGTTGGGAAGTGTTCGCTGACCTGATTATTCTTGTCTGGAATTCCCCTGCTTTTTGAGGCTTGCTCTTTATTTACTGTCTGATTTTAGAGTTTTTAAAAACTGGTTTCCAACAAACCTCACACTCTGAGGATGCCTGCCATAGATGTGGGCAAAAGTCAGGAGATAATGCTTCTGGAACATGGCCATACAGCCCGGAAAACTCACAGCAACCAGTGATTCCAGCCATGAAAGCCTTTGACAACACAATAATATTAATAATAGGACTTTATTTCTAGAACGCCCTCTCTCCTCAAAGGGACTCAGGATGGTTTACAGACACAAAACAAAAAGGCAAATATTAAATGCCTTAAGTAAATACAAACACATCAAAATAATACAAGATAATGCACAAAAACAACAGTAAACATACAACGAAGAATTATCCATCGTGATGAAAATAATTAAAAAAACAAACCAATAAGTGATAGTAAACTAAAACATGAGTAAAACACTACAACATATACCCTAAAAGCAATTATGATACAATTACAATAAAATGGCTAACACCTGTATTCATTTAAGATGTATTGTAGCAGCCAAAAAATACAAGTGGGTTATGGATATTGCGTGTATATGTATGTGTATGTATCTCTTTGCTCCTGCTCTTGGATTCCCCTTTTATTTTAATGGCAGCTATTTCCACTGAGTGGGTTCATCTTTCTCCCTTTCAGTAAAGGCGGGGAAAGAAAGGCAGAGCCTGGTTCTGATGCCTTGTTGTTGTTGTTGTTTGTGCTCAGTGTGCGTGAAAGGATGCAGGCCAGGATGCTTGGCCGCCAGGGAAGAGGATCCTTTGGGGGGGGGGCTTTCTTTTGTTGTGGTTCAGTGTCTGCTTCTATGGGAGTGAGGGGAGGGGGCTTCCTGTCTGGTCCCAGGTGCCCTCCTCCCTCGCCCTCCCTCCTTCCTCCCGCTTCTTACACTGAGAATCAAATCATTTGGGGGAAAAGAAACCAGGGCAGGAGGGAGGGGGAGAGGGCAACCCAGGAGCTGTTATCTAGGCCAAGAGATGAAATATTAATAACACGACCCATTTCAAGGGCTTTTCCAGCCCAACCCCCCCCCCCCAATCCCACCCCCTGTTGTTGTTATTGTTGTTCTGCTTCTGATGTAGAAGCCTTCTTTCCAGAGAGGAGTGTCGCCTATGGGTTTATGTTGTATCATCACCTTAAAGCATGCCTATGTCTATGCCTATGCTCCCCCCCCCCCTTAAATATCTCCCACTTAACCTGGTCACGCCTTAAATGGTGAGGGTAAGGATTTAATCTCCTGGATAATTTGGAAAAGCTCTTTAATTAAGGAACAAATGGGCCTCTCGCTGCCTTCTAACTTGGGATGCTTTGTGTTTGGAAGCCTGAGGAGATATTATAATATAATATAATCCTCTTCCTTGCCATACACATACAGAGACAATTTCTGTGTCACTGAAAACCAAGGGGATTGAGTAGTAATCCTGCTCAAGACCTTAGTGGGGAGGAGGTCAATGGTGTGTATGTGTGAGTGCACGCCTGCCTTTTCTGAAAAATTACAGGAATTTGAAGTGAGTGCTTAGTTAACTCTCGAGTTGCTTTCCAAGGCAATGCTCAGCTTCTGCTAGTGATATTTCTTTCTATGTAGATCAGTGGTTCTCAGCCTGTGGGTCCCCAGATGCTTTGGCCTTCAACTCCCAGAAATCCCTAATAGTTGCTAAATTGGCTGGGATTTCTGGTTGTAGGCCAAAACACCCTGGGACCCACAAGTTGAGAACCACTGATGTAAATAGATATGATCAATAGGTACTGCTCTGGTGGGAAGGAAATGGTGCGCTATGTAGTCATCCACATGACCTTGGAGGTGTCTTCAGACAAAGTGGGCTCTTTGACTTAGAAATGGAGAGGAGAGGAGCACCACCCCCTAGAGTCAGACACAACTTGGCTTAATGTCAAGGGGAAATCTTTATCTTTACCTTGATAGATGAATCATGTCACCGATAACTCTCAAAGAGAGATGACCTGGAGGATCTGATCCTTTTGATGATGGTGTTGACAATGGTCTTCTGCTCTTCAAGTCAGACCTGCCTTTCTTTCTTATACAAACTGGCTTTCCTTGCTGCTGACAAGGAAGTTCTTTGCTCTCTCTGTCACCTTTGTGACACAATTATACCAGCTGGTCTTGCAACTTCTCCTAAGAGCTTCATTTAGAATATATAGAGATGATGATGGTTGTATCTTGAAGGGTTGTTGCAAATATTTATGGGTGCTCCAAGAAAAATTACACAAAGTGTAGTTATTCAGTCTTGTCTTCTTGACTACAGTACTTTTTTGCGGGAACTTTAGAAAAGACGGGGAAAGCAACAATGGGAGAGTTAGTTGTGGAAACTGTTATATCCTGAAATCCACATAATGCAACATGGTTTTCTAAAAAAACAAGCCCCCCTCATCTTGAAGTGATCCCTCCACATATTTGAGACCCATGTTTACAAACTCGCTTACAGTAAACAAAAACCAAGTCTGAGCCTTGATATGATAAACCTTCAGTTATGAATGTATGCATTTGCAGTACTTGTAACAGTGACACAATATAAATCACAGATATTTCCTTTTCACAACACAATAGTGGCAGATACCTTGAAATATTGTTGAAGCTCATCAAATTATAGTTAGTAGACCCGTTGCTAGGAAGGAGGGGGAAGCCACTGTTTTGACAAGGGATCCATACATTTCACCAGACTGCCCCCAAGGGGTCCATGATACTAAATAAGGCACACTTTGCCCCCCCCAGGTGTTTTGGACTCCAACTCCCACAATTCCTAACAGCCTACTGGAAGTCCAAAACACCTGGGAGGGGGCAAAGTTTGCCCATGCCTGTACTAAACAGTTATAAGCTTCATTTGGCCCCATATTCCTGAAGCCTCTGACCTGAAAAGCCACCCCTGAAATCAGGAAACATTTGTGATGGTCCAGGGATAGGAAGACTAGTAGGAGCAAGTTAGCAAAAGTTGAATAAAGCTATACTGTGTCAGATCATGCTATTACTCAGTAGTATGACTCAAGATATTGGAGCGTAAATTTGCTTCACGACTATGTGTTATATTTGAGAGAACTCCGGGTTGTCTCCAGAATTTTAGCAAATCTGGGCATGTGCTAGAGTCTATATCAAGCATGGGCAAACTTGGGCCCTCCAGGTGTTTTGGACTTCAACTCTCATAATTCCTAACAGCTTCAGGCCCCTTCCACATAAACAGCTGAGGGGACAAAGGAAGGGACCTGAGGTGGTTAGGAATTGTGGAAGTCCAAAATACCTGGAGGGCCCAAGTTTGCCCATGCCTGATTATACAATATGCACTTTGGAAAGAATATCCAATAAAATCAAAACCCAAAGAAAACTCTCTTCCTCTCCAAGAGTAGAGAGAGATACGTATTGAGTACCATGCCTTTGGGGAGCCTGTCCCACCAAATCCACCATGACAACTGAAAAATAGGCTAAAGGTCACATCCAACCTGTAAGAACTATTCTGAACATGGAAGTCATATTTGGTTGCCCATTAATATGCATCAACAAATTTATTGTTTTGGAATGA